TTCTTCTGGTTCTCCTGGTTCTCCTCTTTCTAGCTCATTGTAGGTCATGGAAGATCATTTGGTAGCTCATTGTAGATCATTGTAGGTCATTGTAGGTCATTGTAGGTCATTGTAGGCCATTGTAGGTCATTGTAGCTCATTGTAGCTCATTGTAGCTCATTGTAGGTCGAAACGGCGCCACAAACTTTTTCTTTTCCGAAGAATCTTCAAAGCCTCACAGCGCTTCTGTAGTACATTGTCGTACACACGAGAATAGTATAATACATACAGTACTAGTACTAATAACAGTTAGTCAGTTAAAGTGAAAGTTTTTTACGGTGGAAGTAATTACGACCGATGTAAAGTCAAGACGTTTAAACGAGATGATTTGGTAGTGATGGATTTCGATTCCTTTTCAAACGGAAATATTCAAAGCTGTGTCAATGGGAAGCGAAGTATCCGGCAAGAATTCAATATCGAGATGATGAAGATAGTTTCGTTACGATGACAAACGACGACGATTTCGAAGATGCAGTTCGTTGCATATCATCTATAAAGAACTATGACAATAATTTTAGACGGTGTTCAGAGTAGACAAAGCAATAACGCCAAAATCGCCATCAAGAAAACATCGAGTCTTCGCATGTCCTCCGACAGTGCTGTTCCAGAACGGAATTCTCTTCCATGTTTGTTAACTTTTAAATAGTCCAGGAAGATTTTTTTTTGTTTTTTTCAACTCAATTTTTTTAGTTCTCTTTTTAGCTCACTGTAGGTCATTGAGGATCATTTGGTAGCTCATTGTAGATCATTGTAGCTCCTTGTAGCTCATTGTAGATCCTTGTAGCTCCTTGTAGCTTATTGTAGCTCATTGTAGCTCATTGTAGCTCATTGTAGCTCATTGTAGCTCATTGTAGCTCATTGTAGCTCATTGTAGCTCATTGTAGCTCATTGTAGCTCATTGCAGCACATTACGCCTTTTAGTAAGTACGACGTACGTCGCGACAAACTTGACAGCTTTGACAAGCAAACAAAAAGCTTCAAACGTTTTAAAACGGTTCGGCGCGTCACGCTTCATGGTAGCTCGCAAATGGTAGTATATATATATGTATATAAGCTTTAACTACTTTTAAGCTTGAAAACTTAAGCTTACTACATTTTGAGATTCTATTTTACCAGTTTTCAGCTGTTTCATGTGTGAGAAAGGTACGAAATTCACAAACGACAAGAGTTTTCGGAAAACAAAGTTTACATTCAGTTACAGTCAAACTACCTCAGCGTGAACACGTAGAGGTCATCAATGACTTTACTTTTGGATTCTTGATTTCATTATTCGATTCGAAGATTCATTAATGAAAACGAATCTTCAATATTCAAAAAATAATAATAATTTGAAAAATTCGATTAACTTGGCTTGTCGGCTCTTGTTTATAGCGCAAACAGAAGGTAAGTCATTAATATTACATATTCCTTGCACAAAAAGTTTTTTTTGCATTTCAGTTGCATATATGCTTGGCTTTTGTATACACTTATTTCAATAAAGTTAATCACCAAAAACCTAGAAAGCTGAGATCACTGAGCATTATGGCAAACTTTTCATATCAAAAAAGCATATATATACAAAGCTTTTTTAATACAAACTGCAGCTCGATGATGCTCAGAAGAGGTGAGACTCTAACCGGTAAAAGATTCGCAAGTCCATGAACAGTTATCAAGCGGTTGAACGTGTAAAATGAGTCTACCCATAATCCTTGTCCGCCTCAGCTTTATAGCTTTTCAGGTGACTAACTTTATTGAAATAATTGTATGCCAAGCTTTGAAGATTCGTTTTTATTAATGAATCTTCGAATCGAATAATGAAATCAAGAATCCAAAAATAAAGTCATTCATGACCTCTACGTGTTCACGCTTGAGGTAGTTTGACTGTAAACTTGACAAGAACAACTGAGACAAAATAGAAAATAATGCAAAATGCAATGCAAAATACAAAATACCAATTTTCTTTGTCAGTAAATTGGCAGTTGTAAATGTTTTTACAATCTTTATAATAATAATAATTATAATAATTTAATCATTTATTGTGATTAAATTATACAACAACATATCTCTCAACGACACAAATTTATGCTCATCTTTATAATCATACTAGCTCGAAAAGCCGATAAACAGTTGAATATTTGTTTTATTTTATATGTCATTCGATATTTAAACGAGCTAACTGTAGAAAGCTATAAAATTATTGAATGAAAGTCAAAATGAAAGTACTCTCACTATAATAACAAAACAGCTACGCTTTTTTTTGTTCGTTTGTCATTCTCATATGAAACTTATATGAAACTTATATGAAACTTAATCAAATTGACTCTAATTTAAACTTTGATGTTTATTTAGATAACGATATTCTTGAACGTAAGAGCTTTTATAAGTATTTAGGAGTATACCTAGACCAATCGCTATCCTTTAAAGAACATGTCCACAGACTTATAAAGAAA